AAATTAGAAATGTTATAATATTGTCATTTTATTCTATTCACAAAAAAAATTTATATTTAAAATACAAAATATGGTTGTTAAAATTATACAAATATATGTCAATTTTAACTTATAAATACATATCAATATTTAAAAATAAATTAAAAAAACATAAATAATTATTTTCCTCTTCCTCTCTTTCTCTTCCTTCTTTTGTTCTTTCTTCCTCCTTCTTTCCCTTCGGGGTGTCTTGGATATTCTGGTGGATGTAGTTCACCCCCACTCGAACGTGTATTTATTGCTTTTAGTGTTTAGTGTTTTTGCCTTGATCTGGAGGGGTCTCCCCTCTCCCTATAAAAAAAAGTAAAAATTGGTACAAGAAATGGAAAATGATTAATGACGAATGTAATGATAAGGAATAATGATGATGAGAGATAAAAGTGAAAAAAAAGTAACTAATGATGTGACATAACAAGTCTAAAGGTTTTGATGATATCGATATTGATGAGATTGACAATATTGGTGCTAGTTACGATATTGGTGCTAGTGACRATATTGATGCTAGTGACGATATCCTTGATATGGAGCTGGAACTGCTAATTAGCATGAATGTGCTAACTATGGATATGCTGCYTGAAGAGGAAGACCAACTTTATATCACCCTTCAATTCGAATTAGCAAAAGCAATGTCTCMTTGCATAATATGGATTCCAAACATTCATGATCTGGATGTGAATGAGTCGAATTACTTCTCCCTAGGTCTATTAGTGAACCTTCTCTCTAGGGATTATGAAACTAGAAATATTCTTGTTATTGCTTCGACTCATATTCCCCAAAAAGTGGATCCCGCTCTAATAGCTCCGAATAAATTAAATACGTGCATTAAGATACGAAGGCTACTTAAAAGTAGAGATTTTTGGTCGATCCAAAATGAAAGCCCTGATTTTTATGAAGGATGTGTTATGGAAAGTAGTGCAAAAACCTTAGGAAAGATCGGAGAGCCTTTACGGTGGTGGACCCAGAAATTTCTGTAAACGGATATACTTTTAAGTAGGGATGGCAAATATTGACCCAACCCATTAACTCAAACCAAAATTAGCAGACTGGGTTGAGATTTTCAACCCATTAAGAAAATAAGTCAACCCGCCTAACCTATATAAATAAATGGGTTGGGTTGGATTGGGTTGAAATTTTCGACCTGTTTTCAACTCATTTAAAGTATCATATAATTTTGTTTTTCAATTGTAACATCTAATATTATCTATGAAACATCGAAACCCTCTCACTGTAAAACCCTAATAAAGTAATAATCTACGTGTCCGCCTCCAAGTCTCCCTCTCGGCTCTCTCTTGTCCGCCTCCAAGGTTCCAATAGACCAACAAAATAGTCAACAGTTGTCTCTCTCTCTCATCGAACACAATTTCGATCGGTGCGGTTGTACGAAATCGGTTTAATAAGTAATATTTAATAAGGAACGATTGTGTTCTATTTTAGTGACTAATATTTAATAAGTAATGATTTCGTTTTGGGAAACAAATCTGAAACTGTTTATAACCTTTGTGTTCTATTTCAGTGATTAATAGTAATACGATTGAAATTTCGGATCTACAGTCTCCTCCACCTCTATCAAAGAACAATGAGAAGAAATCGATTAACCAATTAAAGCTACAAATCTGGTGTGGATTTCAAACGTCAAAAAAACTTACATCAATAGGAAAGTAATACCGAGAATGAAATTGGAGTTGGTGAAAGTGGAAGTCGAGTTACTTAGAAATCAAAGGTTTCCAATTTATTTTGAACAATGTATTTGTTGTGGTTGTGTTTTTATTCAAACTTTGAACAATTTATTTGTATTTGTGGTTGTGGTTGTGTTTTATTCATAAAATTAAATAGTCTAATCTTTTTTTTTTTTTTTAAATTTTAAAATTAGATGGTTCAACTCAGGTTCAACCCATTTATTTAACAGGTTGGGTTAAGAAAATCATAAACAGATCAACCTGTTGTCAACCCATTTAGGTTACAAGTTGGGTTGGTTGAAAAATCTCAACCCATTTAATTAAATGTGTTAGGGTTGAGATTTTTAACACCAACTCCGACCATCCCACCCATTATTACTTTTTGTTATAGATTTGGTTTCGTAGTATTTAAGGGCATCCTTCAAAATCAAGCAGACCAGCTAATTATTCTTCTCTTACAATAATTGAATAAACGGGTGTATGGAAGCCAGTTCAGCTCCTAATACTGCCCTTCGAGCCACTAATAGCTAATGCATACTAGATTTATATGGATGAGCTTACGAATGTTGAATCGCTTGGTGGGCGCACATATTTTTGTTGTTTATGAATGATTACCAACGATATGAGTTGGGTGTACGCCCTTGGAAATAAGTTTAATGCGGGTTTTTAATCAAGACACTTCGAACAAAGAAATGTGGGTTTTTAATCAAGACACTTCAGACAAAGGAGATGATTGTTTGAAGACACATGGAATTCGTAAGGAACTTACATCACCGTGTACATCCGAACAAATCTGCACTGATAGCATAAAGAAACAGTTGTATCATTGTGGAAATGGCCAGAATAACGATGCAAGCAAAGAATCTTTCCACTGATTTTAGGTAGAAAGTTGTTGCAACAGTGATGTATCTTTTTAAATTTATCTGCTGCAAAGACCGTTCAAAGTTCAAAATCGAAGACTGTATGAAGCTTGGACATACAGAAGGCCAAAAGTAAGTCGCTTACAGATTTTTGGGTGTTAGCTTATGCGTTAGTTAGAACATATTCCCCCACATTTGATGGAAAATCTTAAAGGAATATATTTGTTGGATATCGTTCTCGCTCCAAAACTTCAATGGAACATTTTTCTTGTTGCTGGTTTTGAAATTATAAGAACGTTCTTTGCCTTGGCTGCTGAATTAAATTTGTGTGTGCAACGGTTTGATGTTAAGTAGACCTTTTAAGATGGGAATTTGAAAGACGAAGTTCACTATGTCATGAAACAAGCATGATACTTTTAAAATTGATTCTTATTTTTTTTACCAAACACTTACTCAGTAAGTGCTTACCAGTAAAATTTAACACTATTATTTACTTACCGGGTAAGATTTTAGTCCACCAAAACGACATTGTATGCAACAATTTACCCGGTAAGCGCTTACCGTGGTAAGAGTCGTCGTCCACACTTACCGAGTAAGATTCTTGGTCCTTGTCTCGCTCTTATCGGGTAAGATTCTTGGTATTTACCATATTCATACGATGATATAATGTTACTTGGTAAGTGCTTACCCGGATAAGCACTTGGTAAAGGGCCCCTATTCTTTATTGTGATATGTGAAATACCAGATTTGGGTTCATTACATTATTTTCTTGTTCACATGATTTTGGATAACAAATTGAATTAATGTATTGATATGATACAATTATTTCATACAAACGGCATGCTTACCATCAAACTACTTTAAGTGAGTTAAGAGCATTCACATGGTCTATTTCCATACCATCAAAAGCCATGCATCACTTGAATACCACTAGAGTTTATCAATTTTTAATAAAATAAATAAATTTATTTAATTAATTATCGACTTCTACATACAAAAGTAAGATATTAATTAAGGGATGCTTACTAAACGTTTATCCGGGTAAGCGCTTACTAAATCACATTACCTTAGCAGATGAATATATGATAAGGACCAAGAATCCTACCCGGTAAGTGAGGGCGACGACTCTTACCACGGTAAGTAAGGGTGCTCAAAAACCCAACCCAACCCAACGCGAAATAACTCAACCCAAATCAACTCGATGTCTAATCGAGTTGTAAAATTGTCAAACCGTATGTGTTGGGTTGATATTGGGTTACTATTATTTGAACTCAACCCGATATCCTTTTATTTCTTAGATTTAATATGATTATTGAATTTCTATTAATATATACATTAGACAATTACACTATCATGTATGTTTTTTCATATACACATATTTCCAATCTATTCACATCTCCATATAACTCATTCGTATATATGTTCAGTAATTGTGATTATATATATATATATATATATATATATAAATTGAGAAAATTAACTGAATGTGATATACGTAAGAAGTATAGATAAGTTGTATCAAATGGTTGATGATGAAAAAGAAATTATAAGTAGAGAAATAACATATTCAAGGTTAGAAGAATATTTTAATGTACCAAAGTATCAACCCGACTAACCCGTACGGGTTGGGTTGGGTCAAGATTTTTTCAAACCGCAAGCATTGGATTGGATTGTTCAAATGTCTTCAACCCGATCAACTCAAACTATGAACACCCCTAACGGTAAGCGCTTACCGGGTAAATTGTTGCATACGATGTCGTTTTGGTGTATTAAAATCTCACCCAGTAAGTAAATGATAGTTTAAATTTTATCGGTAAGTGTTTGGTAAACAGCCCCTTAGTTAATATAATTTTTATTTTTGGCAACTTATGTTTTAATTAAAAAATTAACTCTAAAGTCAAACCTATATTGTAATTGTAATTATAATAAGTAATTTTAATCATTATAATTTTTATTATTATAAGCTTTCATTATATAAATTATGGAGCAGTACATAATTGGAAATGCAAGGTTTATGAAATGTAAAGGAAATAAAAAAAACTGATGTGAACCACAAGGGTTGGTGTCTGATTGGTTTGAGTTTGGCTCTAAAGGTCAAAAGTACCAGGAGGTCTCAGGTTCAAATCCAATGAGGAATAAAAATCCCCTTGTGGCCACGGAGGTTCAAATGCAATGACTTCGGGATATATGCAAAGCAGGTGGTCGCCCTGAGATTAGTCGGCTCGCATAGCGGGTTGGATATCCAAGTTAATAAAAAAAAAACTGATGTGGCAAAGTCATAAACCAAATAATTATATTTCATTTTGCATTATATCATGAGAGTCTGTCAATTATTCTGACCATTTAATTATTCTGCACCAAATCATTCAGCAATTGTCAAACAACCGGTAAAGGTATTATTATGTTGTGTGAATGTTATACCTTCAAGACACTTAAAATAATGTGAATGTTATTGTCTTCATACAAATATAAAACTTCTTTAACTTATTTTAACGTGTAACAAGCCAAAGGATTTTACACCGTCCCTTTTGTTCCCTTCCAAACAATCGAAATACATGTCAACAATGACTCGAACTCATAGCAAAAGACTCTGTTAATATCAGTTTGGGTCAAAACCGCTAACGGGCTCATGCTTACCACAAGGTAAGCTAGGGTCTATTTGCTTAACGGAATAAACGACAGATTAATGGGAAATTACACACAAAGACTATATCACCGGATCTTGGTGTCACGTTCTGAAGTCTTGTTATAACGATACACATTCAAAACCTGCCAAAAACAGAATTACTTTCATAAACCATTAACCACATTTTTACAAAGCCCCGGGTGCCCGAACTACATCACAATCGACTCGTCACAATGTGCAGCTTGCTCGTAACATCATTACATGTGATATCACAGGTTACAAGTTATCCCTTTGGCTTTTTTGAAAGTTAATTAGGATGATAAATTTATAAAATATTTTCATAATATAAATAATGTTGATATCTCTAATGTAGAGAAAGTGTTAGGAGTTGATTTTGATTTTTACTTGTATTTTCTTAGAGAAATTATAGAGAATCAATACATATATGACTCTCTAAAGGCCTGTTTACCAAACACCTATTGGGTAAGCTTTCACAGGCAAGAGTCACCATCCTCACTTACCTTATTAGCTAACATTCTCGACTATCTAAATGGATTGTTGGTAAGCGTCTATTAGCCGGTAGGTGTTAACTGGGTAAAAGTCTTCTCCCTCGCTTACAAGGTAAGATTTTTGGTCCTTGCTATCCTTTTACAAGGTAAGATTCTTGGTTTTTGTCATGCTCACCCGATAAGGCTAAATGATACCCGATAAGCTTTTGGTAAACGGCCCCTAAGATCAACAGTCGCTCTTGTAAACTGTCGGCAAACCTCAGTTGGTTTGTACCGTGCGTATCTGATGAATTAAATTCAGAGAATGGTTGATTCTACACCCTTAGCCAAGGGTCTTCACGGAAATAGTTACTCCCCCCTCCCTGGGGGGTCAGAGACCCTATTTCTGAATGGAATATATTGGGTTTGTTTAATTTGGTTGATTTGACGTGTTGTAAAACTTGGACAACAAGTTCATATACATTGGCCTTAAAGAACTTCCATAACATTTGCAAGCTAGGCAGGAATTTGTACTGCTATCCTTTTAGTGATTTAAGTCGAGTAAGCAAAAGAAAAAGAGAAATAAGTAGATAGATATAATAGATAGATAGATATATTTGTACATATGCTGATGGTGATATGCACATGTATTTTATGGACTCACAGACAACATTCTATAGCAGCAGCACAAGCCCTATGTAAAAGCTATAGAGAGGAGGTACCTTTCGAACCAAAAAATTAAGCTTTATACTCGTTCACACGAATCCATTTTGTAGAGGACCACTTGTTCCCTTTGATAACTGGGCAGCCACCTATCGAAGGATAAGAGATGTTTGAAGCTTAAGTCAGAGATTTTGAATAAGATGATTAACCAAAAGTTAATGCATGTGTCATGGCAAAAAGAGATGCAAAGACACTACAGCAAATGTGGGGTTTAATGACACCAAAAATGTCTAGATGTCCTAATAGAATGTTTCCCACGACTTATGGGTCATATGTAAAAGTGGTGCATTAAGTTTACAAGACGTTTTTGACGTCTTAACAAGTTTTTAAGAAACCTTTGAAATGAAGTGTCATATTAATTTCTTTATATGACATTATTTGAAAAAGGGTCGTAGAAAAAGATGTGTTCATAGGTCACTTCTCAAAAAAACTCATTAAGACGCCCAAAAATGTCCTATAAACTTATTGTAACACTTTTGCATTGAAACGCACAATTGTTTGGTGCTATAAACTTAAAAGTCCTATAAAGCTCTATTAGGACATTTAGACATGTTTGGCAGGCTATAAACCCGATTTTGTTGTAGTGTATGGATTGATTATATATAAACAACTACTGACCATGTAAACTTGAAGGATCTACAGTTGCATCAGGTTTCATGCTCCAAAAAAGCAACGCATCCCCCATTTTTGGTTTAACAGATAGACCTTCTTTGCCACATTCAGATAGTTCATTCCACCAAGGCACGGCACTGATGTTCCCCTTTGCAGAAGGGAACACTGTCTCACCTCCTTCTTCTACGTCTGAGCTGTCAATTTAATAAAGATTAGAGACGATGAAAGAAAAAATACATGAGCAAAATTACGAAGAGAAAAGGCATCACTTACAGGTACATCAGAACTGTAGCCATGCGTTGACCCCCATTCTTGGTGTTAAATTCATCTTGGAAGTAGTCATAGTGAGGCTCGTATTTCTGTCCCACTTCGTAGTGGAGAATTTGCAGTCCTTCTCCATGTTCTGTATAATTAGTTATTTGCGGAACACCCCAATTAAGTAGATAGAAGATATATATTTACACAGTGATGCTTCGAAATGTTAGCTTATATAAGCAGCTTTACACAGAAAAAAGGTGAGTCCCATGTGGTACTAACAAGAAGATAATCGGAAACCAAAGGATCATTGGCCCAGCGTGTTACCCAGGAGGTCTGAGGGTTCAAAACTTACCTTCGTGATATGCATGTGTTATATAAATATTATATGACTTAAAAAGAGATAATAACAGTATTGACAGTGGGAAACCAAGTAAACAGGGGGACAGGTGTGACATGTATAGAAGTAATGATTACATAAATGGACTTTATGGACATGAAGGAAATTTGAAGGGACCTTCTGTGCTAGGAATTTCGCCTGCCAGAAACTTTATATATGGCTAAATTGAAGATGTGAGACAATCCAAATTTCACAAATGGAAAACCCACAAAACTGGCCTTTGTTTGGTCCATTTTCAGAAATGGGTACTGCAAACTATAAAAGCTTCTGTTTTTTTTGCCTATCAGAGTATGTTAGGCTGTATACTGGGAATACACTTGAAGGTATAACTAATAAGTAACCAGAAGATTGACGATGCTTAGTAAAAAGCCTACCTACAGGTAAGAAGGTGAAATCTGCAATCCTTTTCTCAATAGTCCTGATTATTTTGTCACGTCCACGAGCCAAAAATGTGCCAGAACTCGTACGAACCCTATATGAAAGAGGTGTGAAATCTCTGGTTAATTTAAATAACTAAAAGGACGCTCGAAAGATCACAAAAAAGTAACAAAAACAAGCAAGGAGAGCAAGTAAATAAACATTGAAGAACTAGCACACCTACTATCTTTGCTCTTGCCAGTCTCGCTATCAACAACAGTTGACTTCTCCATATGAGGTTTAGCAAGGTTAATTAGATACTCGCATTCATGCTGGGACTGCCATGAGAAAAACACAAAGTTCAGTTCGGTAAGTTTTGTAAACTGTTGACCAAGTTTTGTTTAAGCCATACATGAGACTTGGTTTCTTTACCTTTTTTAACTTAATTCTGATTAATCAGGATGGCATTATGGCATAACTTTTTGCAAGAGAACAAGAAGGAAACATACAATTTCGCTTGTAAAAATATAAGTGTTGAGAGAAATTCAATTACAAAGCATGTCAAACATGCCCGATCTTTGAAACTGAGCATATGATACTAAAAAGATGGATTACAGGTCCAAGTAAATGAATTCGTAAACTGTTGGAACAAAAATGTTGTATTCAAGTGCCGGTGCTTAAATTGTTTTAAATGCTTTGTATTGTTTAGTTCTTGTAGTTTCCTTTTATAGCTTGTGTAGTTGACTTTCTATTTTGGGAGTTGCTATAAATAGCAACTGTTAGTTTTGTTAGTTGGGTTAGACAATCATTGTTAGATTCATACGTATCTTTGACATTGAAAGAGATTGAGAGTACACTTTGTATCAAGAACATTGTTCTTCACAGTTTATGAAATGGAATCTTGCCGACTGATTTGATTCTTCATCTTGTTCTTGATCATTGTTATTAATTGGATTGAGTAGACTTGAGAATTGGGATCACAATTGGTATCAGAGCTTAATCAGAAAGACTGGATTGGATTTGAATCGATTCTGTGTTCAAATTCTCGAATTTCTGTGTTTGAAGATATTGGGTTACTTTTCTTGAATATTTTGATAAATTTGAACCTGTTTGATCCATTTTTGTTGCAATTAATTGTGTTAATTTGTTTCTGCATACATTGCGAATCATTTTGTGCAAGAAAGTTGTCAAATTTTGCAGTTTTTGGGTCAATTTGATGATTTTTCAAGTTTCTGGTTCAAAGATCTTCTTCATCGGACATTGAATATTCATCGTCTGATGAGTGTTCTTCATATCGCCTGTTGAATGTTCACCGCTCATCGTTGAAGTTGATTTTATCGCTCAAGTGTTAAATTTTTTATAAGTGCTTGTCTCATTGCTCATTTTTTACTTGTCCGGATAACTTTGTCTCATCGATAAATTTTTCAAGTATTCTTCTCATCGGACACTTCATTGTCCGATATCCCTTCTCATCGGTCAAGTCTGTCCGATATCCTTCTCATCGGATACTTCATTGCCCGATAACAACTTCATCGATCACTTTCTTGTCCAATGAAGTGTCTATTCTAGTGTGTCCGATAAGTATACTCATTGTTGTACGATAACCTTGATTTCCTTGTCCGATTACTTGCTCATCGGTCAAAGCCTATCCGATAAGCTCTCTCATCGGACACCTCTTTGTCCGGTGAAGTGTGTTTTCTTTGTTGTTTTCTTTGTTGTCCGGTGAAGTATAAGTTTCCTTGTCTAATAACTCCTTTCACCGGTGAAGTCTTGTCCGGTGAAGCTATTTTTCTAAGGGGGACATTATTCGTGAAGATTTCAATCCAGTTCTAGTCAAATATTTTTCTGAAAAAGATCATTTCAAGTCTTTAAAATGTCGAAAGATATGCTAAGTATTGGTTCTGACTCTAAGCCTCCTGTTCTTGCTGTCGGAGAGTATTTACAATGGAAAGTTCGAATGATTCATTTCCTTGACAATAAGAATGAGAAGCTTATGGAATCTATAAAGAATGAACCCTACATTAGTTACATGGATCTACCTTAGCAGACTACCGCTGATGAGATAGTCGTGCCCGCATCAAAGAGAAAGACGGATCCACAGTATTATACGGATACAGAGAAGCAAAGGGTCCTAATTGATAAGAAAACTTTGACTTATATGTTCATGGCAATTCCGAACGAACTTTTTAATCGTGTTGACAGCAGAGGCTCAGCCAAAGAGTTATGGGATGAATTGGAGAAGGAGATGTTGGGAAGCGAAAAGTCTATTTAGACAAGGATGAATCAGTATATTAGTGCTTATGAAGGATTTTGATCCCGTGAGAATGAAACCATTACTGAATCCTACAACAGATTCAATGTAATTCTGAATGACCTAAGGAGGAACGGTATTCAGAAATCCATGTCTGAAATCAACTACAAGTTTTTAAAGAATTTGAGAACCAAATGGAACTCTCTTGCAGTAAATCTCCAAATGAACAAGAACATGTGGGAATAAGACATTCATGATCTTTACAGTATCCTGTATGAGCAAGAGGAAAATGTAAGAGAGTTGATGACTAAGAAGAAAAAGGTGGCTGACTCCTCAGCCTTACTGTCAGGGAAGCAAACAAAGAGCAAATCAAAAGGAAAAAGCTCCAAGTCCTTGAAGACAGAGTTGTCTAAGCAGACTGAGAGTGAATCAACTGAAGATTCCTCAGCTGATTCAGATAATGACATCAGGGAGTTTTCTAAGAAACTTACTTTGCTGACAAAAAAGTTTCAGAAGAGATTTGGTAAGAAGAAGTTTGTGAGATTTGATAAGAGTAAAGGAAAGGAGGTAAGGCCAGAAAAGTTTACAAAAGCCAGAGACCAGAGGGATGGTAAAGCTGAAGAAAGCAGATGCCATAACTGTGGAAAACCTGTTCATTACATCAAAGATTGTCGGTTCAAAAAGTTCAAGAATTCAAACTACTACCTCAAGAAGGCAAATCTAGCAAAAGCCCTTGAGGATGGCAAGGCTTTGGTGGCAAAAGAGGAAAGCTGGCTTGTTGACTCGTCAGATGATGAAGCTGCTCATTTTACTCAAGTAAATACGTGTCTAATGGCAAGAACTGAAGCTGAAGGCTCATCATCTGAGAACGAGAATGAAGTAAATTCTTTGAATGTTGAATTAATGAAAGAAATTGAAAACATCAATGCTGAATTTAAAATTTTGAAAGATAGACTGAAAAGAGAGAGAAATTTAATGTTAAAATTTAGAGAAGAAAGCTGCGGTTTCAAATGCTTGAGTGAGGGTTTGAGAGAAGAAAAAGAAATTCTGAAATCCGAAAAGACTACGCTTGAAAATGAATTTATGTCACTTAAAAAGAAATTGAGTGAAGTTGAGTGTGAGCGTGATAACATTCAGTTAAAATTTGACGTTATTTTTGCGGAAAGATTAAAGCTTTACGATAAAATAAAACAGTTGGAAGATATTAATTACAAACGAGGCCAGTCTGAGCAAACACTAAATTTTTGACAAAGAACCCAAAAGATATTCGTTTTTACAATCCTCAAATGGGTTTGGGTTATACAGAAAATGGAACTCTTAAAAAGGCCCCTCAATCTTTATATGATTTTGACAAATGGGGTCGGCTAAATTTGCAATTCCTACTGTAAAGGAAATATTTGTTAAATCTGAAACTGAATCACCTATCTTTGATAAAGATGATAGTGAAAAAACTGATGAAGATTTTTCTGAAAAGCTAAACTTTAAATCAGTTGGAATGAAATATGATGATCTTAACTCGAGTTATGAAACAAGAAAAATCATATTTTCACATACTGAACTTGATTCGGTATATCCAACTGAAAGTATTCAAAATCAAACTACATCTGTTTTTGAATCATCTAAAAATAATTCTGAAAAACTTTCCGACTTTATTGAATCCATGACTCCTTAATCGTTCGAAAACCTTTTAAATGAGTCTGATTCTGATTCGAAAACAGACGTGGTTTATGATTCAGATAAGATGGAAGAAAGTGCTGAACAGGATTGGAAAGTGCATTCAAATCCAGAATTTGATTTGAATTTGAAAAAGATTTCTGATCTTGAAGATGAACTTCGTGCTGAAAAAGATTTACAGCTGAAAATGATTTTCTGACTAAATTAAAAGAATTTGAAAGCAAAATTTCTGAATTAACCTTGCTTGTTGTCTGTAAAGATAATTGCTTGAGTCCAATTTGAAAAAGATTCTGGTTTGGAAAAAGAACTAAGTTCATGTTTTGATAATAGGACTCAGCTTACGAATAAAATCATTAAGCTTGAGAAAAATCTCAAAACAGCTTCAAGATCATTTGCCAAAAATTCAGAAGTTGCTCAGATTGTCTCAACTGCAAAAACAACTGTTATTAAAAACATCAATCTTTCTTAAAGCAAGTTTGAAAAAGGAGAGCCTTCTAAAACTAAAACTAAAATTGTTTCTAAGGTTACTCCAAAACCGTCAAGTCTGTTGTGAATGCAAAATCTATTAAATCTGAATCTTTATCTGCAAAACGCTCAACTAACACAAAATCTTTTTCTGTCGCAGAACTTTTAAAGATTGGAAAAGACTGCAAGCGGAAGTCTTGGCAGAAGATTGATAAAAATGTTTTGAATAATTCATCTTCTGTAAAGAATTTTTCTGTTAATAAAGATAGTTGCAATTGTAAATCTGTGAATTCAAAGTGTAATCTGGATGCTGATTTTGAGAATGTTAAAAAAAATTCATCCAGATCTTTTATCTATTGCTAAACGTTATATATATTGCAATTATTGTGGATCAAACTCCCTTGCAGTTAATGCCAAATGCAAAAAGTCTTTAGGGTCAAAGAATTCTGATTCCAACTCAAATACCCTGCTCAAAGCAAAAGCTTTCAGTGGTCTTCCTGATGTTAAAAAGAAAAGTGCTTTCAAGAAAAATGTTTCAAAACCTAAAAATGAGGAGCCATATTTTGTAGATGTTAGATTTGTTTGGAAATGGGTTCCTAAAACTAAATATGAGTGGAGCGTTAAATCTATATCTTCTAATGTAATATCTAACCCAAAAGAACCCATTTGGAAGTGGGTACCTAAATCTCCATGATTGTTTTTGCAGCACTGTCATGTGTGGTACGTAGACTCAGGATGTTCAAGACACATGACAGGACATAGGCACCTTCTATCTGCTTTCAAAGAAAAGCCTGCCGGAACAGTCACATTTGGAAATAAAGAAAAGGGATTTGTTAGAGGATACGGAACACTATCAAACGGCATTGTCACAATTAAGAAAGTTTTCTATGCTGAGGGTCTATTAAGTATTAGTCATTTCTGTGATAATGGGTTTGATGTTAAATTCTT